AGAATCTGGAACCTAAGTATAAAGAACTGGGAGAGAAGGTAAGTCTGAACCATATTCTGAAGATAAAATTGAGTGGGGATGTTGACACATGTATTTAGCATTGGCTACTTAGTTACCTTATCTACTCTTCATTCACTTTCTCCTGATTTCCCCCTAGTGTTTAGCCTGAGCAATGCCTCAAATACTGTCTTAAAACCATCAGACTTGCCCTAGCTGGTTTGGCTCAGTGGACATAGCGTTGGCCTGCAGACCAAAGTGTCCTGGCTTCGATCCCTGTCAGGGGCACATACCTCAGTTGTAGGCTCCTCCCCACAGGGGGCCCCGGTCAGGGTGTGTGCAGGATGCCACCAATCGATGTTTTTCTCTCACATCAATGTTTCTCTCTGTCTTTCCCTCCCTCTTCTACTCTCTTTGAGAATCGATGGAAAAATATCCTCGGGTGAGGATTAACAACAACAAAATAATAATTTCTTTTAATGTTAAAAAAAAAAACCCGCCTAACCGGTTTGGCCCAGTGGATAGAGCATCAGCTTGTGGACTGAAGCAGTCCCAGGTTTGATTCTGGTTAAGGGCATGTACTGTGGTCTCGGACACATCCCCAGTAGGGGGTGTGCAGGAGGCAGCTGATTGATGTTTCTCTCGTATGGATGTTTCTAATTCTATTCCTCTCCCTTCTCTCTCTCTCTAAAAAAAAAAAAAAACAGACTCAATCTAGATTAGTGGTTCCCAGTGTGGGACACACGCCCCACAGGGAGGCAATTTGATTTTTAAGGGGGGCAATGAAGAATGTGTTATTAAGTGAATTTTTTGCCTTTTTATGATTCTAGGGTCCCTCATATACAGTATATAAATATATATTGCACATATTTATGCATCTCAGTTCTCTATTATGTTTTGAAACTTTATTTGCTATTTTTTCATATCCCTTCATATTATTTTTTTAACAATTTCTTGAGGAACTAATACTTCAGCTGTCTTTTCATTCTTTTATTTTTCTCTTTCATGGATGCCATGTTCTTTGGAAGCTTTAGACCAAGGAAGCTTGTTTAGGCTTCCTCCACATGAACCAGGAGTTCACTTTTTGAGTAATAAGAATTATATGTCACAGGGAGAGCATCAGGATTTTAGAGATGCATGGGCAAAAAAAGTTTGGGAACCACTGATCTAGATTATGGTTAACCACAGAATTAGATTATGGTTTAAATATACATGCTGCCCTGTCAGTGTTCCGTGGTTGAGCTTCAACCCATGAACCATGAGGTCACTGGTTCAATTCCCAGTCGGTACAAGGCGGGGTTGCAAGTTTGATCCCCAAGAGGGGGCATGCAGGAAGCAGCCAATCTATGATACTATGATGTTTCTCTCTTTCTATCCCTCTGACTCTTTAAAGATCAATATATATATCGATCTTTATTTAAAATGGGATTTTAAAATGGCTTCTGAATTTTGGTAATGGTTTATATGAAACCATTATATTCCTTCATCTTAAAACACTTGGCTTAGCCTTTATAGTTTTCTTTCAGCTAGGTAGTTTTGAAGGTGGCTGTATATAGAGTCTTAATATGGAACCCAGAGAGAAAAGGGAAACTTGTGAAAGGCAATGTTAACTATTCTTTTCTGAGCAGCAAAACTTATGTAGGTGTTTTAAAATGGGATTGTTTTAAGTCCTGAACTGACTGTTTCTCAGTCACTGAAACTTGAAACTTAAAAATCTAACCTTTTTATTAACAGCTCAGAAAAGATCCAAATATTATCATAGCTAAGATGGATGCCACAGCCAATGATGTGCCTTCTCCATATGAAGTCAGAGGGTAAGTAGATTTAAAACTAATAAAAATGTGTAGCCAATTGACAAAAAAGAAAAAGCTGGTAAGCCATTTTTCATTTGGTATAATTTGAGAAGCCCTCATACTCCAATTGAGCACAGAACCACTGATACCATCCCTGGTTTAGAGTTCTGCAACATGGGCCCTACATGACTGTCACAGATTTGTGAGCTCTCATATTCCTGAGTTTTGGTTGGATGTAACCCTAGCCATTGATGGAGACTGCTGTCTGGACAGATTAGAAATCATGGCCCTAGCCAGTTTAGCTCAGTGGATAGAGCTTTGGCCTGCATACCAAAGAATCCCAGGTTCAGTTATGGTCATGGGCACATGCCTTGGTTGCAGACCCCTCCCTAGCCCAGGCCCTGGTCAGGACGTGTGCAGGAGGCATCCAATCAGTGTGTTTCTCTCTGTCTTTCCTTCTCTCTTCCACTCTCCCTAAAAATCAGTGGAAAAGTATCCTCATGTGAGAATTAACAAAAAAGAAAGAAAGAAACCATAAAGAGAAGTTACTCCAGTAAAGAGTTATTAAGGAAGTGTGCTAGTATGACAGAGTTACTCTAGAACTGGAAAGTAGTCAACTCATTTTTTTTCTTTTTTTTTTTCCCCTTAGTTTTCCTACCATCTACTTCTCTCCAGCCAACAAGAAGCTAGATCCAAAGAAATATGAAGTAAGTGCATTGTCTCAGCTCTCAACAGTAGACACACACATACTCACTCAAGCTTGTACATATCTAGCTCTATTTAACTGGAAACTCTTGCAACTCTCATCAATATATGTGGTTGTTAATGTGCTTTTACAAACTCAAAAATCTTACTAGGGGTTGGGGGGAAACCCAGGGTTCTTTAAAGGACTAAATTTTCATGGTAATCTTTCTGTTTTCAGGGTGGCCGTGAATTAAGTGATTTTATTAGCTATCTACAGCGAGAGGCTACAAACACCCCTATCATTCAAGAAGAAAAACCCAAGAAGAAGAAGAAGGCACAGGAGGATCTCTAAAGCAGCAGCCAAACACACCACTTTGTAAAGGACTCTTCCACCAGAGCTGGAAAAACCATTCAGAAGGACTGGTACCCATATGGGATGATTACCTCTCAGGGCTGAGAGGATAGATGAATATTATCTGAATCCTGTTAAATTTTCTCTAAACTGTTTCTTAGCTGCACTGTTTGTGGAAACACCAGGACCAGTTTATGTTTGTGCTTTTGGGAAAAATTATTTGTGTTGCTGGGGGTGGGGGAATTGAGTTGGGGGGTTATTTTCTAATTTTTTTTGTACATTTGGAACAGTGATAATAAATGAGCCCCCTTTAAACTGTCTTTTCCATGAGATGGGAAACCAACGGTTCTCTAGCCCAGCACTGTCCAATAGAACTTTCTGCAATAATGGAAATGTTCTATAACATTGTCTAAAACATGTAGCTATTAAGAATTTGAAATGTGTCTAGGAACTACATTTTAAGTTTTTATTAATTTAAACAGTCACATATAGGGCTAGTAGCCACCATCTCGGTCAGTACAGCTATAGACCAACTATTTTGACTCCATAGTTTTCACCTATAAATCCTTCTCAAATGTTGTCTCTATCCTTACGTGGTTATTGCCCAGGTCCCTAGCTGGATAATTAGAACAAGTGAGTGCCCTTCCTTGTTGGAATCTGTTCCTGACCCTGTCTGTGCCTTAAGGATGGGTTGCTGTTTGTCCTTGCCCTGTAGCTGACTGGGTTTATACCTTCCAAGAGCTGTTTTTTACCCAGAAATGCCCTGAGTGGGTGTGGCAGCAGGTTGGGGTTCCATCCAAGTTGTTTCAGGAATTGCTGACCCTGCAGGGTGCAGTTGTCTCCCCCAAAGCCCAGGGTGTGGCCTATTTTCCTTTCCAGTGGATTGGTAAAGGCAGTATCATTCGTGGTTGTGAGTGAAGCATCCACTTTCTTATACAACAATGAGAAATGCATTGAACCATTTCCCCTCATCCTTTTTGTGAGTACATCCAAATCCTATCCATGATTATAGTTTTCAGTCACTGAATATTTCCAGATAGGAGCTCTAATAATAAATGATCTTCAACCTCGATGTTTAGAAAAGGAGAACTTGCCCTAGCTAGTTTGGCTCAGTGGATAGAGTATCGGCCTGCAGACTGAAGGGTCCCGGATTCTATTCCTTGGTTACAGACTCCAGCCCAAGCTTGTTGGGGCACATGCGGGAGGCAACCAATCAATGTGTCTCTCTTGCATTGATGCTTCTCTCTGTCTCTCCTCCTCACTTCCACTCTCTGAAAATCAATGGAAAAATATCCTCAGGAGGGATTAACAACAAAGAGAATTTTTTTTCTACTGTCATCTCTAGTTGTCAATTATAAGATGGTTTTGGTAGAGACTTATAGCAAAACTAAAGGTCCAATGCATGAAATTCTTACAGGGGGCTCAGTCCTTGCAGCCCCTGCTTTGAACAGTCCTCGGGCTGTTTGGTTAATTAGCATATTAGCTCTTTATTATATAGGAGGATATTTATCAGGATCATCCATAGTGTTTGAAGAAGTAAAGAAGCCTAACCATAATCTTGGAGATTCTAATTCACAAGACTGGGTTGGGATCTGGAGATCTAATTGTTTTTGAGAGCCCAGAAGTGGTTCAGACATAGAGCCAGGAGTAAGAACCACTGCTTTGGAAGAGTTAAGGAAAGCATGTAAACTTGTACAAAGGACACAGAGACCGTTTCAGTTGTTTGGCCATGTTTGTAAAAGAATTCACTTTCAGTACATTGATAAGACCCCAAGCCATTCCGCATTACATCCAGGTGTGTCACAACTTCCTAAAAGTTACTGTTTTGTTAGGCAGGCTACCATTCTAATGTCCTTGAGGTATCTTGTCCCGAAAAGGGTGTCATTTCTTTCTTAAGATCTGCAAATGACTTGCTGAACTAAAGGAGGAGAAGCCAAGCCTCTGCTGCTTTTCTTAGTCTCCTGGGCACAGCTATCGAGTGTTGGCACTGTGCCCACACCCTAAAAATTAATATATGGCAACAATGAAAATCAAACCTTAACCTAGAGCAGCTCTCCTACTTGCCACCATGGATTCGGCGATAACAAGAGCGGACAGTTGCTCTCTACTTCATTTACAGCTGTTTTGTCCTTTGCATCACACTGGACAGAGAGGGTCGATAGCTCCTGACCAGTTCAGCTGCCCCTGTTCTTTTCCTCAAACTCCAGGATGAGACCTTTAATGTGGGACAATTTCTGATGCAGGTACTCACAGCGGCACTTTTCTTCCCTGTAACCTGGGTACCGCTGCACAGAAAGAGCATCCATGTCAAAAAAAAAAAAAAAAAAGTAATTCATTTTTCCTTATTGCTAGCATTCCCAGACCTAGTCTTACCTTTCGGAACTTTTTATATTCCTGGACTATCTTTTCTTCCAGCACCTGAAACAAAGAAAATGCTAGCATCAAGTTTAATCTTGAGAAAAAAACAAGTTCTCTTAAGGGAGGGAAGTAACTTACTCTCATGCTACCAAATGATACAGAATAATTTTTCTCTTAAAACAGGCTTATCACACCGAAACCGGTTTAGCTCAGTGGTAGAGCGTCGGTCTGCGGACTGAAGGGTCCGGGTTTGATTCCCGTCAGGGGCATGTATAATACATTGGTTTCGGGCACATCCCTGGTGGGGGGTGTGCAGGAGGCAGCTGGTCGGTGTTTCTCTCCCTTCCTCTCTGTAAATCAATAAAATATTAAAAAAAAAAAAAAAAAAAAAAACAGGCTTATCACTTTGGTCACTGAAAAAAAAGGGTTTATGGCCAGTAGAGCTGGGAAGCCATCCCGAGGCCAGTCCTTACCTTGTGTTCTGGAGTTCCTCGCTGAACTTTCTTGATCTCTGCTCCCAGCTCTAGGAATCTTTGGCTTGCAGCCCCAAATCGAGCATGCAGGATGCGGTATTCAGCATAATCTCTCTCAAAGTCCTGCTCATAGGCATGTTGCTGCTCTGCAGTCTGGATGGCCCCATATTGCCTGCCAGGAGCAGATTAGTTACCACCTTCAATTTTATTACCTGCCAAAGCCCCGAGCTCCCAGCAGGTTCATCTTAATATCTCGTATGCACAAGGTTTGATAAACTTAGAAATGGCAGGGGACTCACAGGAGGTAATCTGGTACCTCTTCAGGGCTCGGGGATTCAAAGCCTATGAAGGAAGGAAGATGTGAAGATGATTATCAAACTTTCCCCCCCACTGTGGCACTTTTATCCTCTTCTCATAACTCATTAACTCACCTGCTTGAACTGAGGGACTGTGCCCCAGTCTGGGGCCCAGGTCTTCATGTTTATTTTCTTGCTCCCAATCTTCTCCCTCTTGTAGGTTTAGAGTTCTGAGCCTCTTTTCTTTCACTTTTACAGTGGCTGCAGGTGCCGGACGCTTCTGTTGGGGAAAATACTTTTGTCACACTATTAGTATGTCAAGAAGCCTCCTACTCTGTGCCCCCTACTCTCTTGTTGGAAATTATTTTCATGTAATAATCTCTGCTCCCATCAAAATGAAGGCTCCCAATTTTAAAATTTTAGCCAGATGGAACAAATCTCTGAAAAACTCTGTTACAATTTACCTTCTTGTTCAGATGTTTCTGGCTAGCAGAAGGCAGTGCCTGGTCAGGCTCTGTGTTTGGAAGGCAGGGCTGGTTCCTAGGATGTTTGAAAAGGGAATGGAAGAGATGAAGACCAGAGTAGGAGGTAGAGCTAGATTTCTTATTGTACCACTTAGGGTGGAGATTGGAGGAAGCGTTTCTCCGCTTAGTCCCACTCTGCCCAAGTACCTTCCTTCCCACTGTGCCAAGTGTTCCCTCGAGGATCCTGGGAGTGACTGTCTTTGGCTGCTTGCTGGTGGGTCTGGCACCTGGCAGGGAAAATGGGCAGGGAAAACTTGGCTCCCTGGGCTTTAGGCTCTGCCCCACCTTATCCCAACTCCCAGCGGTTTCTTCTGGCCTCACCTCCTCTAGTGCCATCTGTGGCTGTGAAACTCCATCTCTGGAATAATCTCCCGTGTTCTGCCAATTCTCAGGCTCTCTGGAATCATCAGTCAGGTGGTGTCCCTGACCTGAAGATGGGCCTGGGATAGAATCCATGGCTGCCCAGATACTGAGGCGCTCCCTGAGTGGCCCCAGGCAGTGGAGGCGGTGAGGCCCAGGTCTGGAAAGAGGTGGTGGCAAAAATAACAGGAGGGTGGAGAACTTTGAAAGCAGCTCTGGACATCCCCTTCCTAGACTTCCCACAAACCCTTTCTTACCTGCTTAAGGGTTGGCACACAAGGTCCAAGCCACTACCAGAGCCCTCCTGGCCACACTGGGACACTACGAAGGAGAAGAGGCAGGAGCAGCCAGGGCCTGGCAGCCTCAGATACTGGGGGTGAAAGGAGACCGGTAAGCCCCATGGAATCAACCCTTCCCCCTTCTGCCAATGCCATTCCTCCCTGAGCCTACGACTGAAGGTGGGTCCCCGGGGACTCGTTAGCACACCAGGTGCAGCTAGGCCCGAGTTCCCAGGAGGCTGAGACGGCACAGACTCTTCAACCGCAGCCTCCTGGGACCACAAGCCCAGCAGCCCCCTCACCCCATTCGCGTTCAGTTCTCAGGAACTTCTTCAGACCGTGACGGCTCTCAGCTTCCCGCCCTGAGCCCGCGTCTGTTCTCCCCGCGCGCACCCCGGTCTGCTCTTACCCCGCGGCTGCCTTGGAAAGCGATCACCGGCCGGACCTGCAGGGAGAGCACAGAGGCGGGCTGAGCGCAGGTGCAGCCGCGTCCCGGGCCTCCCTCCGGGGCCACCGGGAGGGGTCGCGCTCGCTCGCCGGCTTCACTCGGAGAAGGTGGGCGGTCGGGAGGCCGGCGTGTGGACGCGGCTCTCTGTCCCCAGTCCCTCCGCCGAGGCCGGAGTGGAGGGTGGGGTCCGGGGAAGAGGGGCTCCGGCGCCGCACCTGTTGCCGCTGGCACTCGTGCAGCGCCCGCAGCGCCGCGTCGTTGAGCCTGAGCAGCAGGAGGCTGGTCCGGGCCGCGGGGGCGAAGCAGAGCCGGAGCTTCCCGCTCAGAAACTCCTGGGGTCCCGCCATGGCCGTGAGGTCCGGGCAAGCAGAGCTGGAGCCACACGCGAGGGCCACCACCAACTACTTTCGCTCTGCTCCGCGGGCGAGACTGGCACAGCCGGTAGCCCAGGTCGGTCCCGCCCCCGCCAGGACCCACCCACCGGCGCCACTCCCCGAGTTCGCGGCTGCGGGGCGGCGCCTCGCCCTCTCCAGCCTCCCGCCCGGAGCCGCGGGGACCCCAGCCGTTTCTTTTTGGTTTGTCGCGCCCCTCAGTCCGGGCTTTTGGCGGGGGCTCCCTCGGTGCCCGGGAGGAGGGCTGCGGCCAGCCTCAGACCCAGAATCGCCAGTCCCGCCTCGATTTCCCCAGCAGACCCCAAGTCGGCTTTGTTTCCGTCTCTAAGCGAAGCTGACCTGCAGCCTGGAGGCTTTCGGGCGCAGAGGGGCGGGCAGAGAGCCTGGTTGCCAAGAGCCCCCAGCGTCTGGAGGATGGCAGACCCAATAGGGGATTGCTGCTTCCACACCTGCTGCAGCACTTTTGCTTTTTTTTCCGGTCCGCGGTGCTGATGCAGATCCGAAACCAGTTTCTAACTAAGGAGGGAGAGAAAGTCGGGCCCCCTGAGTGTCGCGGCAGCGGTGAAGCTTGGTTGCTGAGGGTTGGAACATCCCCATGAGTTAAACACGTGAAATTGCTGTGAAAGGGAGTTGGCCCGCTCCCTCCGGGGGACCAAGAGGCGCCACGAAGTTGCCAGATAGTCCGTAGGTCCAGATCCTGGTGCAGTGAGCCTCCGAGCCCAATCTCAGGCCAGCCCCTGGTGTTTCCACTCCTCCCTATCCATATAATCCTATGTAATAAAACTCTAATAAGCAAATAGACCCAAGGGTGGAAGGAGCTGTCGTTATGACCTGCACTGACCACCAGGGGGCAGCTCGCTCAAGGCAGGAACTGCCCCCTGGTGGTCAGCGTTCTCCCACAGGGGAAGCGTGGCTCAGCCAGAAGCCTGGCTCACAGCCCCCAGGAGTAAGTAGCAAGCAGGGATCCCAGACTGCAAGGGGGCCCAGGCCAGCAGAGGAACACCCCTCCCCTGGTACACCAGTTTCATGTATCAGGCCTCTAGTTTGGGTATGTTTCCCAAGAGCCCTGATGTTGTTCGCTTTTCTAACCAGGATCCCTCTGCTAAATGTCAACCTGCATAATCCCAGGTGACCTTAATCCCTTCACCCCAAATCAAATTGACTTTAGTACATTTGTCAAAACTCATCAAGTTGTATTTAAAACGTTATATTTTAATGCATGTAAATTATACCTTAATAAAGTTTACTTTAAAAATCTGTATGATAAACCTCCAACTCCAACAACAAAAACCTTTACTGGTTCATGTATAAATACTTGTGGCACTGGGTAAGGCTGGTGTCCCAGGGTTCCTTTTCTTCTCAGAAGACTTGTGCGGCCTTTTGTTAGATCTTCCTGGATTAAAATGGGAGGGTGGGAAGGGTGGAGGTGGAAGAGGGCAAAGAAGGGATAAAAAATAATAATAACAAACGATATTCTAGGGGGAGAAGAAGAAACAATTGTAATAATCTGAACAATAAAGATTTATTAAATTTTTTAATGCAAAAATAAATAAATAAATGGACGATTGAATGAATGAATGAATGAATGAATAAATAAATAAATAAATAAATAAATAAGATTGACAAACTGCCCAGCACTTACTAGGTAAACTTGGTGAATAATAAGACCTGCTTTTATTAGAAAATGAAAGGAGAGACAAGATAGGGATCTAACATGTGTTGGGTGTCCATTGTTAGGTGTCAGGATCTTTGCCCATTATTTAATCCCTGTAATAGTTTTATAGAGCAGGTATTGTCCACAATTTTCATACATTCATTCAACAAATACTTATTGAGCTCTGTACCAGACGCTGTACTAGATAAGTGCTATAGAATAAAAGAAAAAATAGAGCAAGCTAAGGGGGGTTGGAAGTAGAGGAGGGTTGGGAGAGTTGACCATATATTAAGTAAGGTGATCAGAGAAGGCCTTCTGGAGAAGATGAAATTTGAGCAATGCCCTAAAGGAGGTGAGGAAATTCGCTAAGCTGTACAGTTGGAGGACATGCTGTTCAGTAGAGGAACCAGCCACTGCAAACTCTATAAGTCACAAGTGTGCTTGAAGCGTTTGAGGAAAACTTGAGGCCATTGTCATTGGAACAAAATGAGTGAGGGGAGGGTACGGTAGTAAGAGATAAAGTCAAGAAGATAAGGAGCAGAAGGGATTAGTCACGAAGGGCCTGGTAAACTTTGGCTTTTACTTTGAATGAAATGGGGAGTCATTGCAGGATTTTGAGCAGAGGAGTAACATGAAGTCACTTCTATTTTAAAAGGATCACTCTGGCTGCTGGGTTAAGAATAGACTAGGGGAAAAAGGATAAAAGCAGTATGACCTGTTAGGTGGCAATAGCAGAAATCCAGGCTAGAGATGGTGGCAGCTTGTACCAGTGGATAACAAAGCAGGTGGGAGAAGGGATAGGGTTGTGTTGAAGGTAGAGATTTTCCTGGTGGATTGAATGTGGTATGTGAGAGACAAATGTCATTAAGAGTAACAAGGAATGCCCTGGCTGGTTTGACTCAGTGGATAGAGCATTGGCTTCCGGTCAAGGGCACATGCCCAGGTTGTGGACTCAATCCCCAGTAAGGGGCATGCGGGGGGCGGCCTATCCATGATTCTCTCTCACCATTGATATTTCTCTCCCTGCCTCTCTGAAGAAAAAAAAAAAAAAAAAGGCTAGCAAGGATTTGGGGCCAGAACAACTAGAAAGATGAAATTGTCATCAACTGAGGAAGGGAAGACTGCATATGGAATAATGTTAGTTCTGAATATGCTGCGTTGTCCTAGAATCCACATGGGGATGTGGAGCAGGCATTTATATAATCAAGTTGGGAGCAGGTGAAAGATGTCTTGAGCTAGAGATGTAAACTTGGCACTACAAAACATGACATGTGTGTTGCATGCCATTGCAACACACATAGTCAGCTCCAACTCCTAGCAACCCTATGAAGGAGGGATGTCCACAATGTCCTGTCTTCAGCAGCCCTGATCAGCTCCTGTAGAATCATGCCCATGGCTTCCTTTATGGAGTCAGTTCCTTTCCTATGTGATCTTCCTCTTTTCTTGTTGCCTTCCGTTTTTCCAAGCTTTATTGTCTTTCCCAGAGAACCCTGGCTTCTCACGTTGTGCCCAAAATAGAACAGCTTCAGTTTTGTCATTTTTGCATCCAGCAACTTTTCAGGATTGATTTGTTCTAGTACCTATTTGTCCATCTTTCTGTTGGCCTAGGCCCGAATATCCACAGAATTCTCTCCAACACCAACTTTCAAATGAACCATCCCCCCTTCCCTCCCCATTGGCCTTCTTCACTGTCCAACTTTCACATCCATATATAGTAATTCGAAATAGGAGGGTGTGGATGATTTTACACTTGGACTCTAATGACACACTTTTGCTACTAAACATATAGATGATATTTAAAGCCATGAGGCTGGATGAGATCACCCAGGAAGACAGAGGAAAGCCCTGGGCACTCCAACCTCTAGAAAGAGGTCAGAGTGAAGAAAAGAAAAGCCAATTGAAAGGAAATGGCTAGTAAAGAAGGAGAAGCACCAAGAACACCAAGAGAGTTTGATGTCATGAAAGAGAAGTGAAAAAAAATGTTTAAAGGGGAAGGGATTGATCAAGTGTATCAAATGCTGTTGATAGGCTGAGTAAAATGAAGATTTAAAATTAACCATTGTAATGAAAGTTTTCTAAAATTGGCAGTGCTGATGGTTGCACATATCTGTGATTATACTAAAAAACTATTAAATTGTGCACTATACTTGTAATTCCATAGCATTTGAATCCTGTCTCTCTTTTTTAATTCTCACCTGAGGATATTTCCCCCCATTATTTCTAGAGAGATTAGAAGGGAGGGGAGGGGAGAGAGAGAGAGAAACATCAATGGGAGAGAGACACATCTATTGGTTGCCTCTTGCACGTGCCCTTACCAGGGCTGGTGAACCTGCAACTGAGGTAAGTGCCCTTGACCGGAAATGGAACCTGAGACCCTTCAGTCTGCAGGCTGACACTCAAACCACTGTACCACACTGGCCAAGGCCATCTTCATCATTTTTAGGTGTACAACTCAGTATTGTTAAGTACATTCACATTGTTGTGCAGCCAATCTCCGGAACTCTTTCATCCTGCAAAACTGACTCTATACCCATTAAACAAGTTCCCCATTTCATATTATTCCCAGCCTCTGGTAACCACCCTTCTTTCTGTTTCTATGAATTTGACTACTCTAGATACCTCATAGTGGCATCATACATTTTTGTTCTTCTTGTGACTAGCTTATTTCACTTAGCATAATGTCCTCAAGCTGCATCCATGTTCTAGTATGTGTCAGAATTTCCTTCCCTTTTTAAGGCTGAATAAGATTCCATTGTATGTAATATATTTATATGTTTTACTTGTTTGTTTGTTCCTTTATCTGTCAATGGACACTTGGGTTGCTTCCATTTTGGGCTATTATGAATAATGCTTTAATGAACATGAGTGAACAAATACCGTATTTTTATTTTTAAAATGTTTTTATTGATTTTAGAGAGAGGGAAGGAGAGAGAAAGAGAGAGAGCAAAACATCAATCAGTTGCCTCCTGCATGCACCCTGACTGGTGACGGAATCAGTAGCCTCTTGGTGCACAACAAGATGATATTCAACCAACTGAGCTACACCAGCCAGGGAAAAATACCATTTTTTTAAAACATATTTTAAAACATTTCTCTGAGAAACGGGGCCATGACACAAAAGAATTCCAGTAAGTGGTCTGGCTAGCATTTGAATTCAGGCCACCTGGTTCTAGAGCCTATGGTTGCCCTCCACGCTTATGAGATCATGCCACATCTATTTTATATCAGGACAGGTTCTGCATCAATTTATGGACGAAAAGGAAAAAAAAAACATTTTCCATGTATGCATGCAACCTATTTC